ACTGCATATAGAATAACACCCATCAAGTGAAGGTTAGGTACAACGTAAAATCCGTTCGACGTACTTAAGTTCTTACGGGAAGGAAAATATTTAGTGATACCAGCCAAGCTCCTTGTTCCTGGATGATTTCCCGGGTGCTTCCAGAGGGAAGCAACGTGGAGCAGCAAGGAGGTCTAAGCCCTCCTGGGCCTGGTCTACGTGCAGAAAGACGGAGACGACCCTCCAGGTCGAGTTGGGCGACGAAAACCCAAATATCCCAAGAGCCCCTCTCTAATGCTCTTAGCATCTACCCTAAGGGACGTCCTCGCGCACCACCACGTGGCCCTTCCTTTACACCCAAGTATAAAATCCTTTCCCTGAAAATGACTTTTCGCAAGTCAACCCCCAGCAGGTAGGTGGTCGATTGCCGCAGTAGTCTACTTCGTCGAGTGTTTCACCGTTTATCTGAAATTTTGATTGTTTCCTGGCACAGGGTATGGCTAGGGGGTAACCAGGACTCGGTAGTCCTGGGTAGTAAAGGACTACCGAGGTGGTTAGCGCGTGCTGTGGTTGCGATGCGAACGGCCCTGAAGCAATCCCTCGGCAGCGCCATCAGCGGCGTGCCCGTGACAGCCGGCAATTAACAGCCCGGACTCTCGCCTCTATTCTCTCTATCTCTCTCTTTCCCTCGATCCGTACGTGAAAGTCCATACTCTCCACCTCTCTCTCGCCTTGTCACTCTCTCGGAGAGACGGTCGCGCGCGGCTGCGAGAGCGAGCAGCGACGAGAGACTAAATTGTCCGCCCACTGTTAAGACACCGATTTGCCGACCCCCCAGAGTCGACAGGGTTGAAGCATCCCCTGTGCGGGAGGAATCCACCCCCCGCGTACCAGTCAATACCAGCCGTCGATTTGGCCGAGTTGTTTTCCGATTATTTCCGATTTATTCGGTTCCGCCTGCTGGTTCCGCCCCTCATCCGGATGGTCCAGGATCCACCGTCATCCGGCAATATTTTTTTTGTCTGTTCCATTAAAATTTTTCTTCTTACGTTTATTCACTTCCTCGTCCAATACGATTTTATATGGGAAATTTTCAATGGGAATTCCATACTCTTACTTCGTCCTATATACCGTGTGTATATAAAGCAACGACCGGCTACAATGTGATATCATTCTCGGCGAACACATGTTTCTATAATGCGTGCTGCATATTTCAGAGACTTCCGGGCGAGGACTCCTTTTTTTTTTCCGGCAATAAAACCCCGACGGGCCGCACTGGAAAGGCCCGCGTCGTACATAACATTAGAGCATTATAGGCATTACGGAAATTCACCCCTTGTTTCTTCACCCCTTGGTCTCTCTCACCACCCCCGTCTGTTATTACCGCGTATATCATTCCTTGTCGTCTTCCTTACACGCGCCCAACCAAACGGCAGTGCTGCGGTCCCGCAATGGATTTTTGACTTCGGTATTAAACAATCTTGCGGCGCACCAACCGCATTTTCACAGGCCGTACCGGTCCAGGTCACAGCATCCCTGTAGCTCCAAATTCCTACCGGTGGCTTCAGGGAGAAAAATCGTCGTTGGACAAATGGGAGATTTTATCCGACGTTACGTCTTTTTATTTGAGCTCCGATTACAGAAAAAGGGGCGCGACGCTTTCGTGGGGGAGTGACGTCGTCTACTAAGCCGTCCTGGCAGTAAGATTGAGGTAAAACGATTTGCAGCGTCGCGACGCACTTCGGGGAGTTCTCCTCGCCGTGTAAACCCGCTGTTCCCAATTCGGCAAGGGTCTCAAAGTGGAAGCTGTACTTATCACCGACACTTGAGCCACTTTATTGCTCCCTGATAGCCCCTAAACTCTAAAGGGTTGCTCCACGTTCAACCCCCTCTTTTTACCGATTTACAACCCGCCCCACTGCCAGCCAATCAGATATCCCGACTACATTGCACCCTGGCCAATTGCGCAATTGCACCAATAGACAATTTCCTCGAGCCCAGCGTCGATTGGCGACCCTTATTTTTCTTTTCTAGGAAAAATCACAAAAAGAAACTTTTACAAATTACCAAGAGGGTCGCCCAAGTCGGTTACTACGTGAAAAAAAGATTCCGTTCACTTTCCCTTTGTTGCTAAGGGGATGCTGTAAAACCATTGGTCAGATTGGTAGCCGTGTAAGTCGGTGCTTTTACTTTTCATCCCCTTTCCTTTCGCTTCATCCCCCTAGTTCTCGCGTCACTCTCGTACGAGGACTGACTCTCGGCTTTGGGGACCGAAATGAAAGGATCACAGTTGTACGGGAGAAGCGTAAGGGTTGTACGGTGCAAAAGCTTCGGGGAATAGGGGTAGGTTCTTGACGAACGCGTACGCTTCGGGGTAACTTCGTTAAGGCAGGGCTACACCGTTTGCACGGTCATCCTGGACTAGGTAGAGGGTAGGTGCCTACCCTCCACGTAGACAGAGAACGAACGGGTCAGGGGGTGGTAGATTCGTCCAGGCAGGCATCTTACGGGCTGTTTAACTTATCCACGTAAAACTCAAACACGCGAAACAATTAATTAGTAATTAACGCTGGCTGTTCGGTGGAACGATGCTATAGTAATAGTAGCGGCGGCGGGGGCTGGTGGGTAATACTGAGAAAACGCCAGGGTGGTCAGGGCACTCGGTAAGGGTAGTATCCCTTGAAAGTACTCCTACGGGCTAGGGATTTCCACGAAGCAAGAAACTTTAAAGTTCCAAACTTTAGTTCTGTTGTTAGCTTCTAATTAGCGGACAAACAGCCATACTCTAACCGCCCCCCCAAACCCAATCCACCCCCCCCCACCCCGTGGGGATACAGAAATAACGCTGTCCGCGGTTACCCCATGGAATTCCAAAGAACCTTGGTCTTGTAGCTGGTAACCTTTCTTAAGAACCCTTCGACTACTTGGTCATCCCCTAATTTTTTTCTATTTGGCTAATTCCGTCTCTGGCCTACTTTCTAATCAGGTCCGAACTTAGATGATCCATTGGTCAGCTAGAGTCTCTAGTGCCGATGTGGTAGACGTTCCCGTAGCTTCTTGCCTACATCGAAAGCCAACCCCTATTGGCAAAGCTGGGGGTTGCTCTGGCTAAGGGTGGCAAATGAGTTTCAATATGGTTCACTGGTAGTTACCCGACCTCTCTAGTGTGCCTGTACGATCGACTAGTGGAAGCCAGAATATCGGTTGCGGTATTGGTCGCCTTGGTTATTTAGGAAACCATATCAAAGTTTGAGTTGGTTGGCTGGGTGGTTGGCTGGGTGGAGGGCTGGGTGGCTGGAGGGTGGCTGGAGGGTGGCTGGAGGGTGGCTGGCTGTCTTGGGTGCTTCTGTCGCTACTATGTCGATGCCAAGGGTATTTTCGGACAATGTCTTAGCCTCGTGCACTATAGTCCGTACTGGTTGGCTCACTTCTCGATCGCGTCGCCCTGCATTCTATCTGGCGAACCGTAATTTTTGAGCAATGCCTGATAAAGGGATTAGTCAAATTTGACTGTGGACTAATTACATAGATGGATTGATAATTATTAGTCGTAGCTAATAAATACGGTTAGCGGTTAGGGTGCCTCTACTCTCTAGACTGCGAGAACTCGTCGTCCTCGGGAAAATTTAATTAAGGCGACAGCTAGAAAGTCAAGATCGTGACATGCCCCTACTACCAGCCATCCCCCATTTCCCTCTCTCCTCCCAAAGGATATTCACTCCCTTAGTATTCCACCCTTGTCACCCACCAGATTTTACTGAACCCATCGTAAGTACACGTAATACCAAAATACGTTGCATCCCAACCCAATACACTGATATAACCTTAAGCTAACCCATAGGTAAGATCCACCGTGTAACGCGAAATCTTGGGGATGATAAACGTAAAGCTATGGATTTAAGGTACAAGTAAACTACCCTTAAGAAAGTATCAGGTCTTAGATAAAATGAAAGGAAAAAAAAATTACCCAAAATCCTCAAACTATTGAACTAATCAACGAAATCGAGTTAAAAGATAATTGAAAATCTGTCGTCAATCTCGGGCATTGGCTTCAATCCATATAAGATCAATTGCATCCAGGATGATCAGGAGGTTCCACGGGCTCCAGGAAGGGGTTGTTGGAAATAATTCGAAAAGGGCGTCCCGACTGATTTCATGCATCTGGCGTTCGGCCGTCTAAGCATGGTTTGAGAATGCGGCCATTTCCTATTTCGGCTCCGGCCCTCGTGGTCCCGTGATCAATATTCCTTACCCCCTTTGCCTTGGCTTAGCCCTAGGGCCGCTAGAGTTGGTGCCCCTCGCTCCTACGGAGAGACCTGAGCACCCAGTCCCCTCGTAACACCCTCCCTCCCTCCCTCCCGTCCCGTACAACCCTGTAACCCCTCTCGCACCCTCGTCTTAATTAGGAGTCTGAATCTGCGGCGGACACGCGTAAGGGAACGAGGGCCAGGGCAAACCCAGACGAGCACTGTGTCCGAAACATTATTCTGAACTTTGGCCTCCGTGATCTCCGCTGCCAACCTTGGCTCGCCTTGGCTTCGTTTCATTTTACCACTTTTTTTCTTTGTTTTTTACGTTGCCACTCCTTCCTTCGACTAAACGAGCTTCGAGCCTTTTTGTCCTTGTTGCATTATCATCCCTTGGACCTCGACTAACCGGTACCAATTTTTCGTTTCCTTGTTTCACTTCTGGAAACCGATCCTGGGTCGAGACGGACCCTGGACTGGACGTCTCGACGCTTTTGATCCTTGACAAGGAATTTCCATATATAGATGTGCGTATATGCAGGGATCTACAAGAGAGTGGATATTAAGGCTTGGGTAATTATTTTTGATAAATACGAATTCAGCTGCGGGAGCTTGGCGTCAGACGTCATCTTCTTCGGTCCAAGTGTAACCGGAAGTCCGTCAGAAAAAATGTCCTTAAAATATTCCCAAAGGACGATTTTAACGTATAATTCGGCTGTTTCGATAAACTCCAAAAGACATTCTTTACCGATTGACTTTTTTCTTTTGTTTCAGAGTACTCTTCTACGAGGCGGGAGTCTCCCCGCCAGATCATGAACAAGGTAAATCAAATTATAATAATTAGCTCAGGAAGATCAATCTGTTCGGCATGCATATCCGATGTATCTAGAGCAATGCGGTAGTCGTCAAATCCACTAGTACGTATCACGTCAACTGCATCTTACCGTGTTGCTTCGTTAAGTCAATCAGCCAATCAGCCAATCAGTCAGTCAGTTACCATGGCCAATCGATCCAACGTATTTAAAGGTGCACGTGCGAGTCATCGCGTGTTAACCTTTTCGACGCTATTAGTTGGTGCCTCGTGCCTCCTACCAACCCCTAAACCCAATCTGGACAAGCTTACCAAAAATTTCCCAGATTCGTTTAATAAGTGCCAAAATTAAAGTCACCAGTACAAATCCATTCATACATCCGATCTTGAACTACAAATAATTCAATAATCTACAGGGTGCACCAATTATTTCCATTTAATTGTTACCAAGGGAATATCGATAAAAAAAAATGAAATCCAAAAAAAAACATTAAGGTAGTACACAATAATATTTGTACGCGATGTGGTATGCTCTGACGTAATGTCTTCCGGTATTTGTAACCGCGAGATTATACAGTTGTTTCCTAGGATATCTATATCTATAGACATACCCATAGGTATATACCATAAACTATATATATATACATATAGAACATAACCTCATTTGTAGGCCCTTTACACCGTCTGCTTCCCCTCATTATGCATTGCACATGAGAAAACTTGGAGTTCCTCTCCCCTCTCCACCTCCCCCCACCAGAAGGCACTCACCCCTCCGCCTAGCCAACGGGACCACCTTCCACCCCTGTGTCTCGTCACGGTATAGCTCAGCTTCTTTATAAAGTTTTAATGACGTCGTAGCCTAATCGGAAGAGCGCAGCATCCCACGTTGCAGAACTAGCCAGAGCGAATCTCAATGAGCGGAAACGAATGAGAACTACGGGATCGACTTTGCAATGGGTCAAAGAGTCAAGCTAATGGAGCCGATCTAGGACCTGCGATACCAGAGAGTTCATCAATGCCCCCCAAAAGACTCCGGAAGTCCCAGACCCAAAGTCCTTCGGAAAGGTCCAGTCAAAGTTTTTACCTTGGATCCATACTTCGTACCGGAAGTCATTTCCGATGAGTTAATTTCTCGAAGCGGTTGCGTCAGAGGATTTACGAGTGGCGCGGTACGTTCAAACCGGGCTCACAGTCGCCAATCGGGTCGTCAGGACCAAAGGCGAGGGTCACGAGGGAAGAGAAATAGTTTGATAGGACTTAGGGGTAGTTTCCAATAGGGTCCGTAGTAAGTAAAGAAGAAGAAACGTTAAGCCCTTGCTATTGGGGATAACAGTCTTGTGGGTGTATCGATGCTCGATTTAAATGTAATAATTTTTTTTTGGGCCTTAAGTCCCCACTTCTATACCCCGTAGTAAAATACTCGAGACGCTTTCGATTTGCAACAAATCATTCGGCAGTTTACGCTCGGCTGCGCGCCGAGTTGAATTAAACTTCCCCAAGAACTTACTCTAGTCGGTTGGGATGCTGGGAGGCATGCGTATCCTCCGACCTATGAACTGCTTCTCGAAGTTCCCCGGTGCCTTCATGCGAGAGCAGTTAACTATTTGACGTAGCGCAATGCTCTCTCGTACGTTGTGAGATTAACATACTTCCTGTGTTGTTACGAGACATGCCAAATCATCCCGGAGATAGTTCACTCTTATGAGATCCGCAGGGGATCGCGGCTGTGCCGTCGGTACAGCCGAGTGTCCAAATTTCGTTCTACCTGACCCGGCGATAACTACTCGTCGAAAAGTATAGAAGGAACAAACGTTATCCCCTTGGACGGTTTCCACGTGAAAATCGTAAAGCAGAATTACTCCGAGGTTTACTTATCCCCCTTTTTGGGGTACAGTAGGTACGCAGACCAATGGCCATAGTAGATACAGTAAAGAACTACACGGGCAGCCATTCCATTTGGGTGTGAGCATTAGTTACGAGCTTTAAGGGGATGCCAGTGGCTACGTCCTGATCAATTTTATTTCCTCCCTTTCCGATCATTGTCCCGCTCCGCTATTACAGCAAGGACCCGCACTGAGTACCCCGATATCTTTTTGGTCCGGTCTGAAAGAAAGAAAAAGATAAAAAAAAATGTGAAACGAGTCGAGCGCCGTTTTGCCACGGCACTTTCTCATAAAAACCCTTAATAAAAATCCCAATCTAAACAAGCTTAATTTACGTCCACCACATAATTACCTACCCCCCAAGGCTATCACCCTTGCTTTTTCTCTCCTGCGCTCTTTTACACCCTTCTCTCTTCCTTTACCTAGGGCCAGGTACTGAGGTACGGAACGACCCAAGCGAGCCACTTCTCAGTCAAAGTGAGTGAGAGAGAGAGAGAGGAGAGAGAGGTACCCAAGCCTGAAATAGGGAGAGGGTGGCATTGGAGGGCTCTCTGAAAAATCTAAGAGGCGTAAAGCATTAAAAGGGTTATATAACATTCATTAAGGGCAGGTCAGCCTTTGTGAAATTTCCCTTGGAAGCACCGTTCCGGCTGGTGTAGACTCTGTCTCCCTCTCTCTCCCGTATATGCGCATACCGGCTTCTACGTTCCTCCGTTTCTCCGATCCTACCCTCTCGGACTAGTCCCTTGTCTCTGGGGGGAGGGGGGAGGGAGGGTGCAGTCACGTGACTCTACCCCCTTAGACCCGGGGCCAAGAGCAACGAGGGCTGCCGAGAGAGGGTTCTCCTGGCTACCGAGGACTGGGACGCTCTGATGAAGATGTCGCACACGCCGGGGACCCTGGCCAGATTACCCCGACTAGAACCCAGGACCCTGGTCAGGGCACATGCTAATTGCTTTATTTGACATCAAGAAATAATGTACTGCTCTCCTTGGCCACCATGGAAAACCCTTAGGAAGCTACCGTAACGCATTGTCACCTATTTCCTATTTTCCTACTTCTTTTTTCTTCATTTTCTCTATTACCCGTCTACCCCCCATTTCTTGCCACATGGGACCATCAGGAATCGCACTCCGACTATAATTTTCTCATAGATCATCCAGACCCATGCTATGAGACGTTCCTTACGTATATATAAGAATATGATGGTTTTCGAACCCGATAGAAAAAAAAAAAAAAAAAAAAAAAAAAAAAAAAAAAAGGGG